CTCACCTATTGTGAAACCGCTGGGGGCTCTGTCTTCTGTTGTCTTCCTAAGACTGAACACGGTTCAGGCTCTTAACTGTTCTGTCCTTCAAATCCTGAGTGGCTTTCTTTTGTTTGTTTGGGGTTTTCTCCATCCCTTAGCCAAACTCTCTAAAATCACTGCATCTTAAGGAAAAAAGAATTCACAAAAGCGTTTGCTGGGAGTGACATAGATGCTCCAGGTTCTTTGCCTTCTGGCTCCTGGGAGGTTTTCGTAGCAGTCTTTAAAGTGTGGGTGCAGGAAAGGATTTCAGGTGGAATTACCATGAAACAATTTCTCCGCATGGATATTCAAGGGATCATCACTCTGACTTTATAATTCAGTGTTGATTAAAACACAAATGTGGAAGACATTTCCAAGTGTGCCCACCTCCCTTCATAAATAAAGTCCAAACCAAAGGATGTTAATTTCCTCCCTGAATCAATTTCTCTCTCTCACTCTCTTCCTGTTCTCCAGCCCTTTTCTCAGCTCCCCTGGGCCCCCCACCCACTCACACATCCACAGCTGCCCTTGGGTAAACCCGAGGCTTCTTTGAAGTTCAGCTGTTTCCATCCAGGCAGCTGGACGACAGGCTGAGTGAGGCGCCCCTCAGCCTCCTCCTGGCTGGTCAGAGCCCTGAACCGTACTCTGGGGATCTCAGAGCTAATCTGAGCCTTGTTTCATCTTCCCAAGCATTAGCTCCCAAGGCAGGATGCGCGACTTCGTCCTGTCTCTGCTTCTCCTACCAGGGACCCAGTCCTGAAGAATTTCTGGAACGTGTGGGGCCCCCATTTCAGTAGACTGCAATCCTAATTTTTAATCAGGTGATGAGTTGAGATAAATGATCCTAGTTGTGATAAAGGTCAGGACCCACTCAAAACCTCCCCCTTCCTCCGGGAAGTCCCCCAACACCACCGTCCACTCTGATTGGTCTCCTTTAGGTCTTTGTTTCACAGCGTGAGGTCCATGGACCCTCAGCATCAGGAGCACCTGGAAACTTGGTAAAAATGCAATTCCCTAGCCCACTCCAGACTCAGCAAATCAGCATCTCTGGGGATGGGGCCAAGTGTCTGCATCTTTAACCACCTCCTCAGGTGCTCCTTGGGCCAGGAACACTGCTCAGAGCTGAGGGGGGTTGGGGAGAGGCACATGTCTTTGGCATTCTCCTGTGCTGCTCTTCCTTATACTTTCCTGTCACTCCTCATCCTCAAGGTGAGGTCTCCAGGGAGAGGGGCAGCCCATCCGCATCTCTGAATCCCCTGTAAACTGAGTCAGCCACATTTTATACGCCCGATGGAACAGGCCAGGTGCAGTGAGGCAGGCAGAGCCAGCAGCCTAGCCTTCTCCACAATGACTTTGAATAGATACTCAATGAACGAGTGTTGATGAATCATTCCTTCAAGGACTGTTCCTAGTCAAGTGCTTCATACAGAATGCCAGTCATGCCTGTGCTTCCTGGAGCTCTTATGGGCTGAGGACTATTCTGCCCAGGACTTGGGGTGAATGTGGCACTTACTTCATAAGGCGACTGGGAGGTTCAAATGGCATGATGCATATGAAGTGCTTAGAAAAGCACCTTGAATGTGGCCGACTCTCAGTATGTTAGCTTCCACCACTACTACGATGATGAAGGGGATGATGATGAGAAGGAGGACGACAACCACTCAACTGAGGTTTTAGAGGACAGAAGTCAAGGTCTTCACACGGGTGTGCCTGACTAGGGCAGAGACAGAAGCTCAGATTCGGATCGGGGCTCGTCCCAGTCTGCTGCAGAGTTGCAGTCATCCCTGTGGGATGCTCCCGCAGGATCTCGGAGGGACCAGGAAGAGGTGTGCAAGACCACATACACACAGATGGAGGAAGCGGCTCACGTGTGCCTTTGGGTCCTTCCCAAGCACAACTCTCCTCACACCTGTCCCCCCATTGGTCAGTTCTGTCTCATTTCCTTGTCAAGCCTTGAGAAGCTTCGCTTGTGGTTGGCTGCCATCTGGTTCTCCACCCTCATCCCAGCTTCTGCACACCCCACCTCCACTCTGGCCAGGAGCTAATAAAGGTATAAGGTGTTAACCTCATCAAGAATGTTCTTTTCTTATAGAGGAATGGGAACATTGTCAAATGTACTGTCAAAAAGAGTGCATCTCTGAGGGTGGAATTTCAGGAAATGTTATTTATATATTTTTATACATAAAATGTGAAATTTATGGTTCATTTACTTTGCAAGAACCAAATGAGGCTGACTATAAGAAATATTCAACAGAACTTTAAAAGTTAAAGAGAAAAGAGGAAGGTCTCATAGTGGTCAGAGAGGGAACGGGTCGATAGTATTCCCTACCCAGCGAATACGTGGTTGGGGTAACTAAGCATTCAACTGAACCCTGATTTTACCAGTGAATGGAGAAAATTATTTGGGAAGGAGACCCACTCGCTCAGCTCCTGAACACGTAGCCACTGTCTGCCGGCAGAGATGGCTCTGAGAGTTTTAATCAGCAGGAGGCAGAGTGAAATCAACAGCTTGCACCTCCAACTTTAGGTTTCAGCAGTGCTCAGTGTTGGTGGATGGTGCTGGAGAGATGAGATTCTGCAATAACTGGTCAGTTTTCAAAGCAGTGCTCTCGGCCATAAAGCCAGACATAGACGTGCTATGGATACCCACAAAGACTGCTTGGATGGATGGGGGATGGGGTCTTTCCTGAAATAGAATGAGGGCCGCGAATTCCTCCCTGGAGAGAGGGTCCGTGTTGTGTGCACCACACTCATCTTCGGAGTGTTCTTTCCATTATTAAAGCAAGAACTGATTTCAATTCTGAAATAACCCTCATGCTCACTCTGAGCCTGGCCCCAGACCTGGGGGCAAGCCTCAGTCACCATGGCAGTGTGTCCTCTCCCCTTACAGACATCCAGGACAAAGAAGACACACAACTTAGCAAGGTGAGATGCCTTTTAAAAATGAGACAAAATCTTAGAGGATTTATTTCCTTTATCTTTAGACCTACATCCATTAACCCACACTCAAAGACAATCAGTGCCGCTGTTCTGGAAGGCAGCTCAAATGGGTCGAAATTGCCATCATATATCCAGGAAAGACAGGGACACAACACAGATTTAAGGAAAAAAAAAAAAACCCTGCCTGTTTCCAGGGAACCAGCTCCTGCTGAATGTGGCCTGATAGAAATTCAAGATAAAACTCTCTTGGATTCTGCTTAACTATAAAGTGCCACCTCACAGACGATTTGCACAGTCTGTGAACTGCTCCGGTTCGCAAAACTTCTTTTTTGGCTGTTCTAAACTCTATCTCATCAAACTCTTATCTTTTAACTATACAGCACAGCATTTAAAATGATAAACTGCAGGGAGGAGGGAAGAAAGAAGACGTTTCGTGAGTAGGTGGGACCAGACAACAGCCGGGGAGATGTCTGACGTCCTTTTGGAGAATCCAAACCCTGAAGCGTGACTTATCCTGGGTCTGTCTGATCGTCTTCCCTCTCGGACGATCTTCTGCTACTACGAGACACTTGCAAGGTGATTCCTGGTTCTTTTTCTAGGAGTTATTGTGAATGTCCAGTTTCTGTCAATAATGCTCATCTCTTTAAACTGTTACAATGCACATGGATTTTACTTCCCGGTTCTTCTTGCATGTTGCCATCTATCAAAAAAAAAAGAAAGAAAGATTTATCTTTCAGAGGTTGTTTCCTTATCTTCTGTTCTTAAACAATCATATTCTGTATTGTTGAGAAAAACCCAAAGCAGTCAGCTTTCCTGGACTCATTTCTCTAGCAAACTCACCTCACTCCCTATCTCACCCATCTGCTTATAATTTAATGCTCTGTATGTTTTAATCATTTCATTAGGCATGTCTTTATTTTGAAATGCAACTAATTCTCCAGTTCAAACAAACATCCAGTAATTCTAAAAATGAGACCATTCTTTCCTTTAGGTAGAGGTTGGCTTAGAAGAAATATCACACCTATTTTGAGAAGAGTAAAAGAATTCAAATGCTCCCAGTTTTTGAAAAATCATCAATTCTTAAAACTAGAAAGGATCTTGGAGATTTCTTGATTATCTCCGCAGGTATGGAACTAATTTCTGAAGATGTCTTCTCAAGTCCTTCTGAATAACTTTGTGATAAAAACCACTGTTATTATTAAGGCTTATCATCATGTAGAATTAAAAAAAATTTTCATGAAATATCTCATGCCTATACTTGGAGCCGAAGGACACAAAAGAGAAAACTGATCCCACTGTAGAAATTGTATATTTTGCTAGTTTGTTTTCTTTATAGGAGTTTACACTTATTAAGGCAAGGGGGATCATATTTTGCTATAAGGGGGCAGAGAATTTACAAAGTGCCTCATGTGATTTTTTTTGTCCATAACCTTCAGATTTATTCTACATCAAGAAATGAAGCTGCTGAAATTCCAGCACATATTTTGTTTTAACCTTATATTTTTAACATTATATTTATGGCCCAACTGTAAAACATGGAATTGATGTCTTTATTTTCTGATACTTGTTATTAATTTCTGGTAATAAAATGTTCTTTCAACATTTTAGAAGCACAAGTAACATTTCACACACAACAGACACTCTAACAAATGTTTGTTGAAACATCGGTAGATAAGTGGGTAGGATACACATTGACATTTAACATTTGTGTCTTAATTCAGCTTTAAGGGCCAATGTTTATTAACGATAATAAATAGCAAAGGCAACAGTGGGCTTTCTGATATATTCTCTTCCAGTGACAATTTCTTCTACTTCCAAAACATAAATCAGAACCATTTAAATTTCCATATAAAGATCGAAATGATAATAATAATCTAATAATGAAGTTATCTTGGAGGAATTGTTTTAGAACACATTGGTAAGCTATTGACAGATGGGAAGTCTTGGGATGTGGCTGACACAAATGGTTGTCATGCGCCATCTAGTGGCTCTATGCGAAACTGTGCTCAGTCCGTGGGAAAGGTTTTTTTGGAGCAAGCTTCTCTGCTCCGAATTTCAATGCCTGTCGAGCAACCAACGTACATTTGTCCATCTCTAAGGCTTTAAACTGATAGAGATCACTGAGGAAAACATGTCAAATGGTCTTCCGAAACCTCTGTGTCCTAACGAACAGCTAAGAAGTAACTAGTCAGGATACTGTTTCTTCCTGGATCCAGATACACGAAACCGAGAAGCAATCAGAGAAAGCTCTGCCTGCCACAGTTATGGCGTAACGCAAGGTAAGAAGCATGACATTGCCTGCTACATTTTTCCCACAGAAACCATCACCGTGTGCAGAAATCCATGGCCTGGCCATGACTCCTAGAACCCGGAGGACTTGGTTAGCATTGCCGAATTTGCACAGGGGGAAGATTCTGTGGCAGGTGTCTCAGTTTATCCAGCGGTCAGTGCTGATTCATAAGACATCTTAATTCGCACACATATGCATAATAGTGATGTTTTGCAGTGGATTACAATATCGTATTTCACAATGATCAACAATCTGATTTTTAACTTTCCAGTTTGGGGCTATGATAGTAAAAGAAATAATAAATTCAAAATTTGCAGTGAAAAACAAATATCTCCAGGTTTATTCTTGTAGTGTCAAGTCGTCCAAAATAGAGTGAGCACTTTGAGTTCTTCTTGTATTCTATCAGTTTTAAGCCTCTTCATGACAATTTGGACTGGGACAGTGAATCATTTACATGTCAATTTCACACGCAAAATCACTAAATAAGCAGTGTATGACTATGGTGGAATGGTGGGGAGAGCATTCGATATTGGAGAGTAAAAAACTAAAATTAAGACGAGTTGTTTAAAAATCTCTCAGACGTGACGATTTTGATTCTCTGTGGTTTCATATGCTAGCAAGTTTACGGTGCTTGAGAAATGCAGCTTTCAAAGTCAGCTTACCTCTTTTGAAGAACATCAAGTAAGAAACGATTGAGCGTATTAGTTCCAAAATAGAAAAGCCTACAAGATCATTTCCCTTTCCTGTTAAGGTCGATTTCCATTAAATATACGTTTTCAGTATAAAATGCCCAGCCTAAAAAATATTTGCATCTGCCTTTTGAACTATAATCCTGATCCGCACGCTGTGATAGCGGCTCCAGCGACATCTCAAACATGTATTTTTCACTTTCTTTATCAAAGGGCTATTTATTTTAAGGGAAACATTGATCAATTTAAGGCGTCTGTATCGTTCATTTTTAGAAAAGGCCATAAACAAATAGCAATGGGAAGAACCTGATTATTATACAAGTGAAGTCAACTATCAGAAAACCCTGAAATTTTTTGTCACTTTAGCGCACTATTCTCAATTACAAATCCATTATCTGAAAGCTAGAAGTATAAACAAAAATATTGGTGTGTAAAAACAAATCGGATTTGTGGGCTTAAGTCTCTGTTGTTGCCTGTATATTTAGACATCTACAAAGAAATTTGTCCCCCAAACCTTTCTGCTTTCCTTAGTCTTAAATGTTCAAAGTGATGGCATTTTTCAGAATATTTACCTATTAACTGACATTATCATTGAAAAAGAAATCAGATTAATTTTTGGCTGTGCTGTGCCTCACTACAAATCCTGTTTGTACTGTGAGAGGGGAGAAAAATAAATTTGCAAAATTCCAGGCTCTGGCCCTTTGCGTTTTGCTGGCTTTCGTGTTTTCCATCAAGTCCTCAGTGTTTATGCCACAGCTCAGCTAACGGCTGATGCAAACAATTTTCCTCACATGCCAACACAACACCTTTAACTATACCTAAAAGTAAAAATTAGTAAAAATTTAAAAAATTCTTTGTCCTTGGCAAAGCAGGCATGTGCGGTTGAAGCTGGCCGTGGTTGCCATAACTCCAGTGGGAATCACACCCTTCTTTACAATCTCTGACTCTCTCCTCTGTCCACTTTATAGAGATGTTGCTGGGATAAACGGAGACAATTTCAGGAAGGTTATGGGGCTCAGGAGGACAACAATGCAATGCATTGTTTTGCACAGTCTGGCTGGAGGGTGTAGCGTGAAGTAAAATTAAGATCTCCTCTTTTATTGTGAAGCACAGTTGGGCTGTTTGATCTCTAAGTCCTCGGGTAATTGGAGTCTACACAGCATGTGGAATCGGGGCCTGAGCAGCTCGCTCGTGTGCCCAAAGCCCACTGCATACCTGCCTGCGGCGCCATTCACCCCCGGCCAGATCCAGCTTGTATTCGGGCTTCTGCCTGGACACAGGCATTGTTTCTGAGCTGAGAAAACAACCGTGCGGAGATTCTAAATGGAAGACGTGCTGTTTGTTATCAGGTACACAGAAGTAAACAGAAACTGCCCGGGCTCTGGGCAGGCATCCTGCACATGGGGGTGCCCCTCGTCACATTCCACAACCCTCCTCCCCAATAACGGGAGTTGTCTGATCCAACTTCACTACCACTGGCTCGTTTTTCACACTGGGCTTCCATGAAATCGACCTGCGCCCCCACACCCCAGATCACTGCGCACTGTTGTCCCTCAAGCTCGGAAGGCGGGATGGTTGGTTCACAGGCCGCTCATTCAACAAATAGTTACTGGGCACCTACGAGGCGCAGGGCACCGGCCAGCTGGCGGCCCCGTGGTGAATAACACCAGCACGCGTGGGTCCTCGACAAGCAGGGTGACCAACTGTCCCGGTTTGCTCAGGACGGAGCGGGTTTCAGAGACTCCGTGCACTAGGCTTTAAAACTCCTACAGTCCCAGGCAAACTGGGAGGAGACGGTCACTCTACACCGAGCCTAGAGTACGCCGTCTTATATGGCTCCTTGCCTTCTTAGAAAGAAGCGCGCGCCCCGTCCACAAAGGAGGGTCCTTCACGCCTGTTTTCATGTCTAAGACCCAGAAACGTTGCATTTTTCAGCCAGGGAGGACTCGGTAGTTATCCAAACGAACGGCTTCCTTTTCTAGACAATCATGAGACGGATCCAGGTTTTGAGGGGCTTGAAGCTTTTACAATCCGGGGCCCTCTTTAAGAAAAAGAAGACAAAATGATGAATCCAAAATACAGTGCTTTGGGGGAGGGACATGAAAGAATGAGACAATGGCCTGAAGCTTCAGCTTTATTAGCTTCACGGACAGTCTGCCTTTGCACATGATAACAGTAGTGAGCGATTAACGTTTATTGACTCACTTAATCCTCACAGTCAGCCTGTGAGGCAGGTGGGGTCATTATTCCCACTTTACAGATGGGAAACTTGAGGTCCAAGGAGGTTGGGTAACTTGTCCACGGTCAGCCACAAGGACCGCTGGGCAGCTTAACTTCTAACGGAAATGGTGACTGGATGGGGGTGCAATGACTCCGCCTCCCCCTGGAGGGAAGCAGAATGTCCAGTGAGCAATTCAGCAAACTCTTTTGGGTTACAAATTAAATCCTTAAGAAACCAGCCAGTCAAATTTGTGGACCCCCAAGAGGTTCTGGGCAGCAAGAAGCCCGGGAGAAGCCTGAGCGCATCTGTGGCCCTCAGCGAATGGACGTATCTCTAGATGGTCAGGAGAATTCTCACGTGCCTGAGAATGCACGATGGTTGTACCCAAAGGTCTACCCCCCCCCCCCCCCACCGCTAATCGAGGGCACTGGGTTCTCCCAAGGCTGTCGGCAAGCCTGTGAGAAACTGCCTTCTTTCCTTGGTTTTTCGCAAGATCCCTTCCCCACTTCTTCACCTCCCTCCTTCACACTTGCTCCAGACGGATTGTGGGTGCCCCTTTCCACAGTCCTATAAGGAACTCACAGAGCAGGGGCCGTGGACAGAAGATTAGAAGTGTGCTCTTTAACACCAAGCTCCCTGGCTTGCCATCCTCACTCTGTGACCTTGGATGAGTCACGTAACTTCTCTGTGCCTCAGCTTCCCCATCTGTAAAATGGGGATGATAACAGTATCTAACTCACTGGGTTGTTGTGAGGAGTCAATGAGTAAATATATATACAATGCTTAAAACAGGGGCCTGGGGCATAGTAATACTCTAAGTGTTAACTGTTATCATCATCATCAAATTATTATTATTACTGGCAAGTGGGCACTTCTGTGCAGAAATCTCCACTAGGAGGAAGGGCAGCCTGCCAGGTGCGAGGTTCCAGGCTGAGGCTCGGAACGGCCATTTCCATTTAGAATAAGCCATGAGTTATTTTCAAAGTCTCCGTTCCCTCGATTGTCTTGCCTTCGGAGCGGCTCACGGTTTGGGTGTGACTGTCTGTGGGACACACGCTTAGCCTAGAAACGGCGCATTAAATAGCACCTCCTAGGCGTCACATCAATTGCTAATTAAAGTGGCATTAACCCTAATGGGTTGGGAAGCAGGACTGTCATTTGCCCACTGTGGGTCTCCGCAGGCTGAGCAGACATCCCCCCATCCTGGGCCTGCACCTCGGGGTGACGGGGGCCCTCGGGGGAGGGAAGCTGGGGGTAGGGCCAGAAGTTCCGCAACTTCAGAATCTGCTTATTGTTCCTGACAAATAATAACATACTAAAGCCAGGAACGTGCTTGCACCAATCAGTCACAGGTGCTGATAATAGTTCACCTAATTACTTCATTATTTTTCGCCACTCCAGCGAGCAGTTTGTATTTACAGGCCTGTGGACGGTTCCATTACTACCACTTATTGTGACGATTCCAGCAATTCCGAGGGGCCTCTGAGGGTTTGGACAAGTAGAATCTTGTTTTTCTTGATTTCCCCAGGGGAGTGGGAGGTAGGGGCGGGGTGGAGGCAGGAGGAGCTGGGAGGAAAAGCATCCAGCGGCATCGGCATCGACCTACAACTGCTCATCTCAGATGAGTGATAAATGATGGGTGATTTTTGAAACGCTGGGATTTTTAAAACAAAACAAACAGACCCTATCCTATGAATTACAAGGCTAGTCATGGCGAGAAAGGGGAGAAGACAGGATGCATCCGCCCCAGGTCTGCACTCACGACAGAAGAGCGCTGGGGCCCCAGCCCCGCATCATTAGGTGGGAAGCGGAGCTGGAAGCCGTCCCCGGGGCCCTGTTGTCCTAATGAATACCAGGCCACAAATTAACGAAGTTGGTTTGGAAAAACATTGTGAATTTTAGTCACTCAAGCGTCCGGTGAATCTGTTAGAAGTCAGGGCTGGTTATTTGTAGCTTGTTAACATGTTGATTGTTTACAAATTATGTTTTCCCTTTGAAAAAGTGGGCAACCTCTCAGCAGCTTCTTGTCACTCATCACTTGCTAGGGTGCTTCCTGCCAGGGATAAAGGCCGCCTGTTGTTAGCGGATCTAATTGGTGTACCTCTCCACCTTGGGACCCCTTCCTGTCCTCTGTTCCCTCTCTCCCTTCCTCCTACATATAATAAAGTCCTTCTTAAACCCCCTGCCCCTGGAAGGAGTGTTTCAGACAGGCCCAGGTTCTGTACACCTTCCAGGTCCTCTTTGCAGATAACCAGAGAAGTGAGGGCTGAGCACTGCCTGCTCGCCCCCTCCGGTCCCCCTTCCTTTCAAAGAGGCTTCAAGGGCTGAATTTACACACCTTGGCTCAGGAGCCAAAAGCAAGTAAGAGAAAAAACGAGCGTGCCTGCTCCCGCGACCTTCACCGACCACAAGAAAAATGACCAAATCACAGAACCCTGGAGGTCATACACCCAAATTCCCTCCTTTAACTGAGACCTGAGGAGAAGTGGCAGCCCCAAAGCCCCATAGTGGCTGGAGACAGCAGGGAGCAGAACCCAGGGCCGCTGACTTCCTGTGTGTAGAATGCCTCACAGGAGCAGCTTTTCTGCATCTTCACATCCTTGTTTAAAGTCATCCTTTCATTCGTTCATTCATTCATTCACTCAACAGTTACCTTGGCCATACACACAAGTCCTGGAGCTACAGAGATGTCTTTCAAAGAGCCAGGGGCCCACAGGCACAGGCTTCAGCTTCTCCAAAGACCCACAGGAGATACTCAACTGTCTGGAGGTTCATTTGGCATCTGTTGTTTGCTGCTGGAGCTCCATCCTGAGACTTTGCCCCGTGTGGTCTTTGTGGGCCGACTTCCCCTTTTCTGTACCTTCCGTGACCAGATACCCGGCTGTGTTGTCAGAAGCCAGGTGGTGAGGCTCTGCTGTGGGAGGTGGGGAGGAAGGGGCATGTCTATTTCCTTTTGCAAATTAACTTGCTGGATATTGTGGGTCCACATGCTGACCTGTCACTTCACAAGGATGCCGGCTTTACAGCTTGCTGCTGTCTGGCCTGAGCACTTCTGTCCTCACAGGGGCCTTGGACACAGCGGTGACCACTTTCACAGGAGCTTGGGTTGGGCTGGATGCTGAGAGCAATAAACAAGCAACAGATCTCCATTAAAATCACCCTGGTCCAAGGGGAGGGCAGACCCATGCAGACTGTCTGATGGGTGACCTGCAGCCAGTACCGGCTCAGAGCCCCACTCCTCAGTAAAACGTGACGGTGATAGGAGACCTCTCCCCTCGCCACAACCCCACCTTCGCCCTGCTCCCCCATCCCTGCCTGGCTCTCCACAGGGTCCCCCGTGGAATGTGTGGAGAGTGTAGCAGTGACAGCACCCTAGCAACAGGTGACGAGTCCACTCCTAGGGCTCTCGCAGCTCCTGTGCTGTGTTCTTCAGGGACAGCAGAAGGTTACTCGGAGGGTGTGAGCTTTCACTGTGTCTAGACACTTAAATCGTGTTGCAGACACTCACAGGAAAAGCATAAGGCAAGCTGTATTACTTTCCTGGGGCTACTATAACAAATAGTCACAAACCGGGTGGATTAAAATGATGGAAACTTATTCTCTCACAGGTCCAGAGACTGGAAGTCCAAAACATTGATCTTGGACTTCTAGCTTCCAGAATGGTAAGAAAACAAATTTCGGTTGTTTAAGCACCCAGTCTATGATACTTGGTTATGGTTTCCTAGCAGACTGATACACGTGGCTTGATCCCTGTGTGTCTCTTCTCTTCTCATAAGGATACCAGTCACAGTGGATTAAGGGCTCACCCTACTCCAGTATGACCTCATCTTAATTAATTACCTCTGTAACAACCCTGCTTCCAAATAAGGTCACATTCTGAGCTTCCAGAAAGGACATGCATGTTTGGGAGGACACTATCCAACACAGGGCAGTTTACCTGAAACAGTAGCTCACTTTCACCCACTTTTCATATCGACTCTTTTTCACGGGTCTCAGTTTTCTCTCCCTCCTTGAGAGAGGTCAAGGGACACATATAACGTGAGAGTTGCTTTGCAAAGACAAGAGGTTAGTAAGCCCTGCTGTGCTTCAGGAGGGGCTGGGAGCGCTCATCTGACAAGGAAAGAGATGAAGCTCCAATCCTCCAAACAGCCCACGCCTTACACACCAGCTTGGGATGACCCACACTGCTTTCTCCAGCTCTAGCCATCAGCAAGCCACGGGGCAGCTTTATGACCTTGTAATTTATCGTTATTTACACCTGTGATCTGTTATCGATTCAAATTTTTCCTGAGCTGTTTGCCAGGAAATGGAGCATGAGATGGAGCAACTGGTTTGATCCCTTCCCATCAAGAAAACGTCAGTTCTTCTTTAGGATGGGGGTGGGGGTGGGGTGGGATAGTAGTGTTTAGGTGTCTCTAGCTCCTATTTATTAGAGAGAATGAGAGTTTGGGGGTTCACAGTCTTGGCCACCGATTGGAGAACTTCGAAAGTACTGATTCCTGGGTCCCTCCTCAGAAATTTTGCTTGAATTGGTCTGGGACAGGCCTGGGCACTGGGGTATGTAAAAGGTCCCCTGGCTGAGAGGCACCTGCTTAAGGTGTGTGGAGTCCTGAGTTATCAAGTAAATGGAATCAGGGTGAACTTTGGATCATGGACTCCAACTCGCTGACAAAAGAGAGAAGGAAACTGGCATCTGGGCACCCAAGGTCACCCGAGGATGCCTAAGCGGAGACCCCAGGAAACCAGGATGAAAACTCAGGGCTGGGGCTCCCAGCAGCCTCTGGCTTCTCCCAAAGTTTTCATTTCCTTGCTGCAAATTAACATGCTTAATGATTTTAGCCCATCAGACTGATCTGCCTTTTAATGAGGTCTGCAGGCTTTGACCGACCTGGTAGTTCCTGACCCAGGTACCTTATTTCATCTACACTTGAAAATGTGCTGCAACCTCCTTATTGTTTTGATGCCTAATCTAATTGGCTTCACATGGAGAAACGCCACGTCCCATAGCCACACAGACCGAGCCCCCGCAGGCCTCAGCACAGGTTGCCACTGGTCGCCAGGAGGCCCAGGTGAGAACACAGACCTGGCTTTCAGCAAACTCTCTCACTCCACCAACGCCTGTGAAAAGCCCACATTCTCCCATGACCTCCAGTGGCAATCTGTTTACGAGTTACGGGCTCAGCTTGCTAACATTTACAGCCATGAGCAGCTTCATTTTTCCCACCCAGCCTTTTCAACTTGTGTACCTTATCTTTACAGACTGAAGAGTTGTGATTTGCATTCACAAAGCTCATAACCTGTTGCGTCATGTCCTTTGTGTTGGCTTAATATTGGAGAGCAGGAAAATGGGGAGAATAATTAAATAGGTTGATGTTCAGTTCACTGGGGATGAGAAAGTCAAGGGTCAGCTTTGTTGAAACTGGAAAATAAAAGGGGCCTTTGTGTCTCTTGAAAATATCGGCTCAAGGAAGGTCTTTATAATAAAACAATTTCACAAAGTATATTTTTTCTTATATTTATTATAGTTTCTTTATTTTTTTGGTCCTTTCAGACTGTCTTCTTGATGTTGTTCCTTTTAAACCAGGGTCTTCTGCTCTCCTCTCTCTCTCTCCCCCTCCCTTTCTATGCTCCCCCCTCTCTCGTCTCTTCCCTCTCCAGGGAGCACACACATGTATTCCTTCAAGAATCCTGACTCTTATAAGGCATGTTTTCCTGTGAATGATTTTCACACAATTTATTACCATGTCCTTAGGGATAAGAAACAACTATACTTTTGCTTTAGTGCTCAAAGGAGTTTCATGGAAATCCTTGGTTGCAAGTCACCCACTTAAAATAATGAAAGCACAATCTAAGTGTTTACTCGCTGGGGGCGCAACACTCCTCTGCTCGCTGGAAGGCCTGGGGTACCCAGGGTGCTGGGACCTGCCTTCTGGGATAGGAGGAGTTAATTAAATTACCTTATATTTAGTGTTAATTTTGTCCTGGGCTTGTCAGATAATAGACAACAAGCTTGTACTTGACTGGGAGCATCGTCCCAGGCATGAGTAGTCTCCTGGGTTGTCCCATTGTCAGATTAATTGAGTTGACTTCTTGGTTGCAATTAGTTACAAATGTGGTTCCAATACTATTTCAACAGGTGTCAGTTTGGGGTCGGTGATCAGAATCACACAGCCAGCTCCATGAGGATCGGGGCACTCGGTTCAGCCACTCAGGTGCTGATGTGACTGTGTCTCGCCCAGGCGGAGAAGAGTCGAGAGGCTTGGGGATGTCTCTGAAGAACCATCACTTGCAAGAGAATTTAACACTTAAATAGGTTAAGAGGTCGGTTTGGCCCTCACTTTTGCTGGGTCCAGCTTGGAGCGGGGAAGTCTGTCGGTGATACAAGAAAGTATTGAGAATTCTTCCTGCATTAGGAGCGAACACTCTTGATTGCTGATTAAAATTGGCCTCACTGATGCAAACCTGAACCTTTCAGGAAGTGGGTTGTGAGAAGTCCTAATTAGCGTGAAATTATATTTTGTGGCCCTGATCCGTGTAGGACCGTAACTCCCTAGGTGAGGGAAGTATTCGGATCGTCCAGGCACTGGAGATTGCCTGGAACCCGGACATGAACTCAAATGCTATTTCCTACCCTCACTCCCAAACCCTGAAGAGCACTTTTCACTCAAATGAAAAAGAATTTCGAAATTTTCCCCCTTGTTTTAGAGGGAAGAGGTAAGCCTCTCTCTGCCCTTCAGAAATTCAACATCAACTTCTCATTTTCACATACCGTTTGGTTAGTTTCCACACGTTACTTGTCCATGAGTAACTTCCCAAACAAAGATCCTTTTCCCTCCCAAGTGTCCAAAGCTGGTATCAGGTCTCTAAATAAGTGCCAAAGCATTATTATTGTATTGCCTGATAAGCATAGGACAAAATTAACATAAAATAGAACGAAGTTGTTTAACACTTCTTATCTCACAGATTAAATACATCCTGAACGGCAATAGGGCCGTCACAGAATGCCCTGATAGAGAAAAATCTTGAATCATCGGCCAGAGATCCACAAGACAGCTGTGCACCTAAGAGGCCTGGGTCCCATAAGTGATCTCAGAGCCAAGTTGCGTTCTCTGTCCAGATTCAGGGGAAAAGCCTTGGGCGGCCAGCCTGCTGGTAGAAAAGATGCGGAGCTTGCATTCTGGCTGAGGCCCAGAGCAAGATCCCAGGAGCCCCAGTTCACCTGAGCACAGTCACATAGAGCCACCTGCCAGCCCTGGGTCTCTGCAGCAGCCAGATGCACCCGCCACAAGCCTAGAACAGCTGGCAGCAGGGAGTAGGGGGGAGGGGAATAGGGGCGTGGCTGTGGTGAGTAAATCACCATCCAACACCCTCCCCCTACAGATGTCTCAGCAATCAAGTCTGCGGGTGAGCGAACAATGATAGTGGAACACCTGGCTTTGCTATAGCTTTGCATACCTGCCACAGGCACTTTGGACACACAGAATCACATGTTGGGTGGAGGGTGGATAAGCAGCTGAAAATGCATCTATTCATCATAGGAAGACAGGGGGAGTCAGGACATGGTCCCTAACATTTGGAAGAGCTAAACTCGGGCTGAGGTCTTCAGAAACAAGATGCCATTATATACAAAGACTGAAGGGTGACAGGTGGCCCCATTAGAAAAGAATTCACAAAGCTTCAGTTTTGATATTACTTGGAGACTGAAATGTAATGATCCCATTTATTCCATCAGCAAAAGTTGTCACAGTCTTGTTGTAAGAAGAATGAGCCTCCGCCCTTTGGAAATTCAACGTGAACTTATCATTTTCACATACTGTTTGGTATAGTTTCCACATGTTAATTGTCCAATAAGTAACTTCCTGAACAAAGATCTCTTTCCCTCCGCAGCATTGAAGCTGGTGTCAGGGCTTTGAATAAGTGCAAATCAAAGCACGTCGTCTATTCCTTGATAAGCCTAGGATGAAATTAACATAAAATATAATGAGGTTATTTAACTCTTCCTATCTTACAGATCAAATAAATCTAAGATGAAAATAGGATTGTCACAGAATGCCCTGGTAGAGAAAAATCTTGAAGTAATAATCTATGTTTCCTGGCTGAATATAGACCTATGGTATTAACATCATCTCATATATAACATACATATTATCACACATTTATGCTATAAATATTATATCCATATACACACTCTATACGTGTGTAATTAAATATTAGAATTCTATTCTTAACTACCCCAAAGTCATATTTTTATAATTATTTGTTTGGCTAAGATTTTAACTCCTATAATTTAATATTCCATGGTCCACCATTGAATCCCTTGCCCCATTTGGAATTAATGAGGAGACAGACGAATGAGTGAATGAATGAATGAGTGAGGAATATGTGCTGCCCACTGCTTTTACTCTCCCAGGGGTGGGCAGTCTCCATTTCGATCAGCCTCTTATAGAGAGTTGGGTCCACACCCCATTTCCTTCCACCTTGACTTTCTAGATTGATCTGTAGACATTTTCCAAGAGCAGAACTTGGCTTAGAGAAAGCACTATTTGAAAAGTGTTTAATGATATTCCCTGAAGTTGCTTGGCCAAATATGACTGAATCTTTCTAACGCAGAGAGAAAACAAAATTATTTACTCATTCAGTATTTATTAGTTTGGAAACGGGACACAGTACCTAGCACACGACAAGGACTGATGTTTGCTTTCTCAAGGTACCTGCCTCATGCTCCTTCAGAAGACAGCAAGAAGAGGCTTACAGTGGCCGAGCCAATGTTGACTGTAGCACAATTCCTTATGTTTTAGGGAGCAATTAATTCTGATAATTGATGTTGGTATAACATGGGTCTTAAATGATTTATGAAGGAGTTTTCTGACTCAGTACAGGCGTCTCTAAGAGTGTGCTTACCCATTGCTGCCATATCCTGTGGAACACCAGATATGAAGGAGACCAGAAGGCAGGCAGAGATGGGGAGCAGGAGTGTCATGTCTCAGCTTTGCACCTGGGGCAGCCCAGGCCTGGGGGACAGCACATGCTGAGCCCAGGCCACACCAGCCTCGCTCGTCATCCAGAGCTATAAGCTGGACACTGGGCAGGCCCATGATGGAGTTTCAGGTGGCAGCCTCAGAAGGAGACCACAGAGCCTGAAGTGGACTTCTGGCTGTGAGACTCTGTGGTCATGTGGTTCTCTGGCTGCTCATGCCCACAGACTGTCCATCTGCCCAAATACCGACCCCAGTGGCCATCAGCCCACTACTCCTTGGGATTTTAAATGCTTTAGGATTTTCCTTTTGAAAGTCAAGGCCTCTGGTACAGGCAGGCTTCAAGCCATTACACTTTGTTTATGAAGTAAGACCTAACTCAGAGTTGAATGATTAATTATGATGATTAACAGTGGGGTGTGGAGAAGGGGAGGGGAGGAAAAAAGGGGCAAGAACAGGAAAGGACACAGAGACTAGTATTTATTGAATACCTACTGTGTGCCAAGCCCTGTTGTGAGACCCTTTATACATCTGTTGTTTCTAAATCCCCACAAGAACATTGAAAGATGGATATAATTATTCCTGTTTACAGATGAGGAAACTGAGGCTCAAAGAAAGTGAGCACCTTGCTGTCAGTCACATCTCTGGAGGTGGCAGTGCTGGTGTTCTCACCTGCATTACCTGACCCAGTGTACCCTTCTCCCACTGTGTCAGGAGGATGCTCCAAAGACACACCTTACACTCCCACCTGGGGTCCAGCCTGGGCTCCCCCTCCCCCCCCCAGTCTACCTTGGAGAAGCGAGGACTAGGGGTGGGGAGATAGTTGACAGGTTCTAGGGAAGGTGGTGGCCCCAAGGGAGGGGGGAGGGGAGTTAGGTGCTTCATTTCTTCCTCCAGCTCAATGTCTGCCACCACAAAGCAACTCCATGTGGATACAGTGTAAATAAATAGTGTGAGCTACGCCAGCACAACCTCAAAGCAAGACCTCTAGAGTCTCTGTCTACCCCGACTGCCAACTCTAAGCCCCCCTCCTATGGAAAATTTGGAGCCTCCTTTGATTTACAAAAGAATATGCTAATGTCTCTTAGACTGAATGCTCCCTGAGAGCAGGAATGTGTCCGCTTAACTCTGCACGGCATCTAACAGGCTACACCCAGTGCCCGCCCTACAATAATTTCCCAGGAAACACTGGTGACATGCATGAATGAAGATGAATCGCTTCTGCTTGCCTTCTGCTTTAAACCAAAAAAGCCTGAATCACCCCCTGTGGGTGAAACTTGCTATCCCCAAGGAGAGAAATGTCCTTACAGCTCTCTGGTAGCTTCTAGAGCATTCTGTACCCACTGGAGCCAAGCAAGGCCTGTGACATTCTTAGGACGCTATTGAGCTGCCAGAGCACGTCAAGTTTAATGCTCCCTCAGCAAACAAGGAGACACGCGCAGGCCCAAAGACAGTGGCTGTCAAATGGACATGTGAAAACTGAATTGCTGTTTCTTGGGACGTGGTGAGAGAGTTTCTCTCCCTTTCGAGAAAGGTCTGGGTAAAGGAACTCAGAGAAGCCCCAAAGGCCTGAGACTCAAAGGGGGCTGTCCAAAATTTATCGCTTATCTGACCAGAGCTGTCTTGGACAGACTGAAGTCATTAGCTGGGCGGGCTTGGGTGGGAGGAACCTCCGAGGTACCTGGCACAGAGAGTCCGAGAGGGGCAGGCACCATCATGGTCAGCTCTAAATCTCTGAACTAAAATTACTAGGGCAGAAAGACGTGGACATTCGGTGCCGTCCTTCCCTCCCACCTCCTTGGAGCAACATGTGCCCTTTCAAAAAGAATAGCACAGATAAAAATCTCATCCATTTACTGCAGAGTCTCTGCCATAGTTGTAAAAGAAAGGCCTTTATCATCCCCCGAATTAGATCTGTGATTTTTTTGAATGACAAGTATAATAATTAGACTGTGAAGATGTGCCGTTAATCCATTTAAAGGTGTAAAGAAGTCCATTTAATGAACATTATAGTCACATTAGACTTGGAAACATCCAACTCTTTTGTTGAATAAAAAGAAGTTCAACGAGATTAACTTCTCTTAGTTGGTTTTAAGGAATAATCAAACATGTCTCCCTCTGATAGTGTACGGTGCCTTCTCGTGTGGATTCTGCATACCAATGTCTGCCAGCCAGGAAGGGTAAGAATAAGGCCGCCAGACCTCACATTTCAGTCAAATAATTACAAATTAAAAAGGATCACTCCTACTTTCTATACTTACTATAAAGTGATAAGAGGCCCAACTCCTTGAACTTGTAATTATGTAACAGAAATGTTAATCTTCTGGTTCGGTATTCTCTCCTGCTGTATTACATGCATTCTTACAACGATCAAGTTTACTACTTGACATGTAGATATTTCTGCTGGGAGACCCATTACTTGATCCTACCAGATTCTGACCACAAATAGGGTAACGGATCGTTTTCAAATCTTGTGCTGTTTCGCATCTCCGGATGAGGCTGCTGTGATGGCTGCTTAACTGGAGTAAGTGCCGGGCACAGATGCTCTCTGCTCCGATGTAGAGTGGCTCAGAACCCAGATATCCTAGCTAACTCCTGGGGTTATTTCAAAGAGCCAGACTTTTGAAACAGAAATGGACAAGTTTGGAATAATCCCAGATTTGATTTAAAAAACAAACGAAAAAAAAAGAAGGTGCTAAATTGCGGTTGGTCAGATTTTGTCTATTAATTAGACTCTTCTCCCTCAGGCTTCTGACTTACTACCGCCTTTGTAGCTCGGGAATGTATATTTCACCTTATACATTGGCTCTCTCTTCTCTGTAGTTGCTAAGAATTTAAAAACAAACCACCGAGACATATAACATACCATCTAAGATTTCAGAAGGCAAAGGGTAAAGATTGCCTTTTCCCACGGAAAAGAAGCCTTCCATAGTGAGGAAGGACAAGCCTAAGAAGAGCTGGTCTAAACATGAAATTAGGGAGTCGGCTTGGGAAGAGCGTGTCAGCACAGCATCCTCTCTCCTTGCTTTGTGCCTGATGCCTCCCGCGAACCAGTGACAGTGATGGATGACTGTGGAGATTGTCCAAGCCAAACTGCTAACCAGCACTGTTAGATCTTTTTGTAGTTGAGGAAACAAAGCTGATAAGATCAAGAAGCAACATAATCCCCGGTGATGGAGTGTGATCTGTCTTGTAGAGCGTAACTGGCATTACGCAGACATCATACCTTAAACCAACCATGGTATTTGTAGGAGCGGAAAGAAAAACTTACTGCAGGTTAAAAGAAGTTTGGTTTTCAAAAGAATCATAAAAATGGGATGTGCCTTTCAGAGGCCGTGGCAGTGTCTACTCCGGATCAGCTGAGACTAACTCAGAAATTAAGCCTGGAGACCCGGCACGCATCTCGTTTCACTTTCCACTTCTGTTTTGCTCTGGCTCCCTTATAATCCTCCAAGATGAACGTCCAAGAGGGATAAAACAGGGAGACCTTATTCCGAAAGGTCACAATTAGATCATTGCCTTTCACCGGCCTTCAAACGGGGCCAAGGGGAATAATGGTCTGGGCCTTCCATCGCCCTGGGAAAGAGGAAGAACATTACATTTTGTTATTTGTTGCTATGACTTTTCTTTATTTTGAGATTATCTTCATTATATGTTTATCCCACATAAGACACGTACTAGCTAAGACAAAGGGACAATACGTTCAGTCCACAAGTGAGCTAAAATGGCAAACGCAGAGGAAAACTTGATGTATACACTTCTGGAACTGATGGTCCAACTGTAAAAGACGACATGTTCCTTCTGGTACCTGTCTGGGTTTTTGGTGTAGAAACTGATTTAGAGGTCTAGGGAGCCCTGGGGCATTCGTAATGGGCGAAGGTTGCCGACATCACCAAAGTTTGAAGCTGTTCTGTAACTGCTTTAATCAACCTGAAATTTAAAATTACACTTCAGTGAAGAATATCTACGAGATCTTAAAAAAAAAAAAAGCATACATAGTAGGATCTATTCATATGCAGAAAAAGTGTCAAAATGGTTTTATCTCAGACAGCACCCAAGCAACATTTCCTTTCCCCCTTTCATTGAAAGGATCATTTAAATGTGAATACATTTTTTTGGCTTAGGCTATTAGATTTTGTTCAGATTGCACAAATAATTCTCCTACTTAGGTCAGATTAGAAATGGCTCTGGACGTTCCTCGATGGGATAAAAATCTTACGAAAACGGAACAAATGCAGAGGAGAATGAGAATCGTTTTGTCCATATGCTGCCCCAAACTTGCCCAAAGATAATTATCATTGCTTATAAATACATGTTTGAGGTTGGCTTGAATACGTTTTTGTGAAAAAGAGAAAAGTTATTATCTTGAAAGGAACTCAGTAGCGCCTAGAAATCGCTATCATGGTCTGGAGTGAAGTAATCACTTTATCCTCATCCCTGAGCACATTTATGCACCTCCTAATTCTTCACCTAATTAGAGGGAAATGCAGCGCTGTCCTGGTCAGGGAGGTAGGGATTAGGGTTAAGAAAACACTTGTATTGGGAACCCCCTACCTCCCCTGGTCAGTGTGAAAGATTCTCAAAGAATCTCCCAGCCTAGCTAATCCATGACCCTCAGCGGGGAGGAAGTGTTAACAATTTAGTTTAAAACTCACACTCTCAGACAAATGCATCAAAAACGGCTTTTCTCCTTTGATTTGTAGGTATTAGTTGTTTTTCCAGGCCCCATTAAGGACTCTTCATCCTGGACGGCAAGGGGCATTAAGCCCTAGCAAGTTAGACTTGTTCCCAGCTCTGTCTGATTCAAAGGCAATTTACACTAATTATTCGAGTCCACAGCGTTACCCATATTAGCGGAATGAACCATCTCAGCAGGTAAAAGTACTTTTGAAATGTTAATTTATTACTAAGGTATAAAAATGTCCTTGATTTAAAGTGGAAAAAAAATTAATAGCAATTTTAAAGGACGGGACTAGGACATTCGGTACCCCTTGCTTATTTGCACCAACTCCTTCAGAATGACTTGTCTTTGAAAAAAACACAGGTTGTCAAGGCTAATGGCAATGCATTCTCTGACGTTATGGTTAATACAAAGATCTCGCCTACTTCGGTGCGTTTTTCTAGCCAGTTTTCCAAGCGGAGCCGAATGAATCCCTCCGCCCAGCTGCATTCAGAAGCAGCCGTTTGATTTTGTGCCTCACAAAATCTGCTCACGGGTGTTGGTTGCTGTTTTCAAAAGCCTCTTTTCGATTCCATTGCTTGTTCCAGAACAGCTTCTCTGGTCTAGAAGAAGCAAGGCCGCATCAACAATTTCTCCAGCAGCATTTGTGGGTCCATCCTTGTTGGACCGAGTCACGTGCCCTGCGCTCCCAGTCTCCATTTTCTGGGATGTCCCAGGCACAAAAAAAATTTCATCATAAAGTCAGAGGCTCTTGAGTGCCTTCTGGCTCAGTCTCTCTCCACTTCCCAAGTGAGTGGGGAGGAGAGGGAGGTAACTGAAATTAGGTTCTGCCATATTGGGAGAGAACCCACTGCTCAGAAGAGAGCCAGCAACTATGCTCTCCCCACTAAGGGAAGTGCCAACAGCGACCCCTCCTGGTAACCTGAACGAGTCAGAGGGTCCAAACAGTGCAGCTAGTTGTCACTGAAGAGTACTTTCCCTTCATTCTTTCGTTCTTTAATTTTACAAGCATTTATACACAAATCTATGAGAAGCGTCCCTGCCCTCAAGCTGCTCGGAAGACACTAAGGGCGATAAACCTGTAAAGCTGTAACAGAGATATAAGGAAGAGGTGGTAGGGCCCCTGGAAAGAGACAGATCCGCGCTGTCCAACAAATACAGGAAACTGCTTACAAAAGAAAAATAAAGATTCACTAAGCAGAGAGAAAGAGAATCCAAGGTTGAAAAAATAGCAGCTGCAAGGGCTTGGACTAACACAACAGCATAGCGTCTTCAGAGACCTGGAAGTTGGGTGGGGTATCCGGACTGTCCAGAGCTACAGGAAAATGAATGGGAACGAGTGGACAAACTGGAGAGGTGGGCAAGGGCCCCACTCAGCAGTCTTGGAAAATGCGGGGCATCTTCCCAGAGATTAGAGGTCTCCAGACTTTTTTGATCATTTATCCTCAGCCCTGAGAAAGGATTTGATCATCCCCAGTATACGTGTACTTATAATTAAATTATATACATGTACAGATTTCAATCCATCATAGTAAGTGCTAGTAATGCTTATCTCATTTCTTATCTTTTTGATGAAAATATGTTAATAGTAGCTCTGGTGTTTTCTTTCCTCACCTCCATGGATTGTTGACAGTGTCAAATGCCCTAGAGTTGATGGGCGCTTGGAAACCCAGTGTCTGCCCCAGAGATTTCTTCCTGCCCATCCCCAGAAGGCAGATGTGCTTCCACTTCCTAACGCAAGCAGAAGCTTGGTCACTTGCCAAGAGCTCTGACCTAATTAGGTCAGAAACAGGTGAGGCACAATTACAGCAGGAGCCAAAGGATTCCCAGCCAGTGGCTCAGCAGATGCGCCCTCCATGTCCCACAGGGGAGACCTGGCCCCGCACATCCCAACAACTTTCCCTCCTGTTTTGGAGCAAATGCTTTCAAGACCCCTAAATCAGCACACCCAGGAGCACATGCTGTAGATTCTAGAGTCCAGAATACAGCCAGAAACACCGTGAGAGTGCCCATAGGTCAACTCTAATATCAAACAATAGCAAGAATAAGTTGTAGCATAAATAAAAGAATATATAGGTCACCATGGCGCTAGAAGCTAATTTGTGCTTTCCGATTGTCTATGAAACACAGTTTTCCATGGATTCCGCGTGAATCCTTCCAACACACACACGCACACCCACACACTCCTTACCTTAAGTTCTACTCAAGCAATTCTAGTGTGCTTAGGAACCTATCTATATTGGATGCCTATAAGATACAGATATGGCAGCTACAACTAGAAGCCATGAATTACAGTGACACTTCTTTTTGCAAAATTTTGCCCTAAGACTAGGATTTGTACTTAGGTCATTGGAAATAGTGGGCTCCTTCAGGTTCTAGAAATGGCTAACAGAGCCAGGATGACCCAAGCTGCCACAATCCATCCGTCCACCCAACAAGTGTGTATTGTTGTTGAATGTCTATGGTGTGTCGGGCATAATATTTATAGTCACGACAGGAAGGAATATATTTCCACTAGTGTTTAAATGTTCCCTCCCAGACTATAGTTGGAGCCCGAGAATCTAAAATGATTGTACGGAATAACTGTACTTCAGATAGAAACCTGATTCCCAATCAGTGCTCTTTTCACATTAAGTGTTTAAAATGTCTTTTTAAATCAAATCACCACATTATGTACATTTCTACTTGGAGAGGATGGTAAAAATCTTATTTATTTGGAAATGATAATCACCCAGACTCTAAGTGCACTAGCTCTCCCTTTTTTCCTGTTTTAGAAATGCCCTTTATTTTGTAGATGCTGTAAATGAACAGTGTATAAATAAGGAGGGAGGGTGGAAGGAGAACGTTGAAAATTCTTAGAGAACAAATTGCTTCCAACAGTTTCATAATACACCTTCGCCTGCAAATAATGGATATGAAATCACAAACCAATTGATTTAATCGTGTATCCTGAAGACCTTTAGCGTCGCAACCCAGCTATAATTACAGAGCATCCACACAAGTAAGAAGAGTACATTCCCATAAAAAATTTCTATGGTTCAAAGTATTCACCAGTTAATCTGACTGCCCCTTCACCGCCACCATCATTTAGTTTGAATTAATGAGGATGGATTCACTAATGAAAGCCAAGAATTTTCCTCATTCTGATGAGACAATACGGTCATGGGGAGTAGCTGTATAAAATAATTTCCATGGCATATCCTAGGAAGCTGGAAGTACTAAAGATCATGGCGCCTGGCTCAAGGCTTATGATCAGAAGGGGGTGAAATTAAGTTAGAACTGAGAATTTTTTACTTTAAAAAGCATAAAGAAGCAGCACGTTTTTTCATGTTGAAAGAAGTATTGAAAAATGTATCGTGAAATTGAAACCCTGAAAATCTTTAAGGAATCTTTCATTATCCTTGCACCAGTGCAAAAATAGAAGCTTTGCATATGCAAGAATCAAAACAGACGTACACGAAACATAATGTTTGTTGACAGAAATGGAATTTCCAGCATGCGTTTTATATACGTAATGCGTATGCGTACACCTTTAAAATGGTCTCAACTGGTAACCACGTAGAATTTCTAGGAAACTGTATAAAATGGGTTTGCTGGCTGTTGTGAGTGTCTTGAAACTTTATTCATCTAGAGAGGCAACACAAGTCAGCTGAAAAAGCGTGAGGCTTAGAGTCTGGAGACTCAGACACCCAGACCAGTTCACTCACTAGCCACCACTGTGACTGCAGGCAAGTCGCTTAGCCCAGCTGGAAAATAAAGGTTTGATTGGCTTGGCCTCCAAGAGCTCTGTCAGCACTAAAATTGTCAAACTCCATATAGGAAGCATTTGATAGTCATCAGAGAGGAAAGCTGTGTGTGAAAGCAAGTGTTTCCAAAAATAGACGTACAAAGGATTTTTTCTTTTAGTTTGAATTAAAGAGGGGAAAACATAGTTTCGTTTAAACCACACACACACACACATATATACACACACACAGGCCTATCTAGTGTGCATTTTGAAAGAGCCAACAGTGTTTTCCCCAGTTGAATAAAATGTGCCTTTGCAGGCAATCAGATTGCATTGCATTTGCGCATTCTGCACAAGGCTGTTGCCTCCAGACAGCCTTTAATTCTAATTAATACAAGTCCAGCTGAATCTGTGGGTGGAGGAAGAAAGACCAGAAACGAAGAAAGAAAATGAGACGTTAGCACGAATGCCTATCACATTGTCAATATCTATTCATCTGCATAATATTAATGATACCAAATATGCAAACAGATGTTTCTCTCATTAAATTGTATATGCAAATACTACTGGTAGGAGTGGTA